GTCTTTAGTAAAAAANAAAAAAAAAAAATGATGAAAGACAAAAGAATAAACGATAATAATTACAATAATATCGAAGAATACCTACAAACAAATCACTCCTTTCCTCTCATTTTCTTAACATCTCCTGATCCCCATATATATTGTTCAGAGAAAATATCAATAACACTTAAGAAATCAAACAACTTCTCTTAGATGATATATGAGTTGATTTTTCTAGATTCTTTTCGAACATTGATGTAATACAATAAATGGAAATGCAGTGATCCAGTCTTATGCTTGATCAATTATGATGTTATCATTTTCATTCATTCATAAAAGCAGCTCAAAACATCATTATGAAATTTCAACGTTTGGATTTAAACATGAACATTATACATAAATTGACCATAATTCATTCTTGGAATATGCATAAAAGTCTAATATTTGTAACTTGGTTTGAATTTATTTCTAAGAACTTTTCTTTTTCCTTTCGATTAATGAAGGAAAAAATTCATCTTTATTAATTATGAATTGGAGAGCATATATGAAGTTCTAAAGTTTTCCTAACAAAATTCCACCAGTAGTTAATAAAGAAAGAGAGAGAGGAAAGGAAAAAAAAAAGAAAAAATTGGAATCAAGCACATAGCGCACTATACCATTTGGCTACTGCCGCTGTGTTTGTTGTATTCCCTCTGATGAATGGATCTTCCTAAAAAGAAAGATTATGGCATCATTGAGTGAGATTTTCATACAAGTAACTTTATTCATGATATATTGTAGGCGTTACAGTAAGTTTTATATGCCTTAGTCTATTAGCAAGGAGAATTACTGTGAAAACCAAGTGAATCAAGTTTATGATTTTTATAGTGACATCAATAAGTATTTTGGGTAGAATGTTAAGCTTTGAGACTTAAGATAACCTATTTTTGAAAACAAATTTACTATGACATGCAATGAAAGTACAAATGGTAAATATATATTTTTTATATATTTCTGAAAAGATATCCAAAAAAGCAAAACAGCAAACCAGAAGCTCGTGATAGTTGGGACGATCAATAGGCCGTTTCATGAGGCATCTAGCAATGAATACTGAAAACGTTTGTGAAAAATGCTGAGTTGGAGTAAGTCGTGGTGGCGGGTCATTGATGATTTTGGTCAGAAGCTCGAAATCTGTCGTGCAACCCTCATATGGATGAGTTCCTTTAGCTAGCTCAATAAGTGTTATTCCTAAACTCCAAACATCAGCGCGTACACCATATTCACAATCACTACTTGCTACACGTTCCGGCTGAAATTAAATTCAAGTTGAATAAACCTTTTCTGAATAACAAAATTTAAACCACAAAAATCTATAAGAAGCAACTGTCATTTGAAAACAAAGTCTGCATGAGAGAACAGTAGGAAAAGAGGGCCGAGAAATATTTTACTTATTCAGCAAACGATCAAAAATTCTACGACTTTCTATCGAAGCTTAATGGAATAATGTTACTGCAATACTAAGTTTCTATATGATTAATCAAGCATTCATTCAACCAGTTGTATACTGTGAAACGTACTTTTACGTTAACTTATGTAATTTGAAATAATTGTTTCCTTAAAAACAAAAAAGTGAACCGCTAAGTAAGCAGTACAGCCTTTGGTATTCGTTTCTGCTCGTCTGGAATCAATCAATCTGCCGGCAATACCAAAATCACATAATTTGATTGTACCACTGTGATCGATTAGGATATTCGATGGTTTAATATCTCGGTGCATGATGTTCTAGAAAAATGTCTCAGTTATGGAAACAAAATACAAAGTTATCAGTTTCAAATTTGAAACAATGAACCAGAAATGATGTATCTAGGGAAAAACAGAAAAAACTGTGTGGAAAAAAGGAAGCATAATTGTAAAACCCAAACTATAACTAAGAAGTAAAATATATAATTGGAGTAGATGAACCAATATTATTTTACGCAATATTTTCCATAAAAAAAAAAGATGAAATGATATAAAGTATAATAATTTCAACCAACTTCTTTTTCTTTCAGATATTCCAATGCTAAAAGTACTGATTTGGTTATATTGGCGACAATGATTTCGGGAAAATGAAGCGCTATCTTAAGCAACTTATCCAAACACATCGACATCAGCTCCATGCATATTCGAACTTCTGACTAGATACACACTTTTTTTACTACAAATCAAACTTTTAACCGCCTTCAAGTTATCTAATTTTTTCATCTCACCACCAAGAAAACTTCTGTTGTAAATTTTTGACTTTTTTTTCAGAAGAAAATGATTGATTATTATTTCATTTAAAATCTATAGCATGCAATTTGTTGGACAGAAATATAGAAATGTCTGGTTTAATAGCTCTTAAAAATACTTAAAAATATTTCATGAAATACACTATTTCTTACACGTTTTACTTCAAAACACTGTCTGGACTTATTTCGAAAAGAATTACCTTAATGAATTAGTTTATTTCACTGCTATTAATGTCACTTTTTTTAAAACTCTTCTGTCTTCTCTAAATTTCTGAATATTACCTCAAAAACAAAACAACCATAACAGCGCACGATGTTTGGACAATTATGGGATCGCATAATAACATCCATATCCATCACCGTCCGTTTATTACTCTCGGCATTACCCGTTATCGGAATTATCTATCAAGAAAAAATTATCAGTTGAGTTAACAAATTTAGTGTTTATTAAACATTGCTATTTTTATAATGGATCCAGAATTGAGTAAACTTTTGATAATAAATAAAAGAATCACTATTTACTATAGTCATACTTCATTTTCTTTTCAATTAAAGAATACAGAATAATGGAATCTAATTCAAACTCCTACAACAGATTACTTTAACTGCCATAAGTGTTTTGGTCTGTTTGAAATGTGCTTTTCGGACTACTCCAAATGAGCCACGACCAAGTTCTTTGATATCAACAATATCAGAAAGTTGTGCCCTGTATTCAGTACCCATTATAGTAAGCATACCAGATCTTTCTCGAATTGATTCATATTTCTCTTCCACCTTTAAAAATATAAATCTCATAATTAATGGTTTTTTTGTTTTGGAAAAAAAAAGACAGGAAAGTATTGTAGCAGCTACTTCGCTTTACAATATGTAGAGGCTTAATGTCCTGTATATCTAGTTATCAGTTAATAAATTAGAATAGTGATGAGATACAACCAAATCTATGATACGTAATGAAACTAAATTAATCAGGAATCACAGTAACCTGAAAGTTTACAGTGAACCGTACTGAAAGAGATTTGTTGGTAAACTTTTGAGGAGAAGATGATCCATACAAATATGAAATAACAGCAAAGGACAGAAACCTCTTCATCAGTCATTGGTACTCGTGATGGTTCCACATCTTGTAGTGTTAGATCAAGACCGAACCTTGAACGATCCATTGCTGTATTATCTGCTAGTACTACAGGTTGATTTAAAATCATCCTCATTCAACGCTGCAAAATCAGTAGTTAAAAAAACAAAATTTTATCAATCAAAATATGAATTAGTTTCTAGCAACATTAAAAAGATGCCAAAAAAATCAAATTCACTTTTAATTAGCTTCTAATTAGTTTAATTTCTCTCACCAAAAATAGTACAAAATCCCATTCGCTTTTTTTTTAAAAACATTTAATTGTAAAGAGGCAAAAGCTACCATTGGAAACATCGTAAGTGAAAAATTCCGATGTGCCAATGAAATGAAATTGTTCAACAGATCGATACCCAAATCGATCACTCCCTGTATCTTGGTCTATATATATGTATGTAATATGTATGTATGTATGTATACGTATGTATGTGTGTGTATGTGTGTATGTGCGTGTCTGTCTGTCTGTCTGCTTTCATACACCTATATATCAGCATGTGAGTGTATGTTCTGGACATTTAAATTAATGATGATTCGATAAAATGATAAAAATTTGAGACAGTGTTAGTAATGAGATGGAAAAGATTTAACGGAATGGGTGAAGATGATGGTTCTGTCGTTGGATGGAAGAACATTTGTCAATTTCGGATTAGTTTACATTAATGAAATTGTATTTGGAATTATGCATAATCGAAAAAGGACAAAATGATTGCAATCAAAATTTCCGGAATTTTTCAGTGAATCCAACTTTGCATCATCAACAGACAAAGTTTATCAGTAACATTTAGGTTGTACATACCATTTGTTTTAGTATTATTATAATAGAGATATATACAATATTTATGACAATTTTTAGTTGGTCTAGATGATGACACTCAATCACTTTAACTTTTTATTTAAGACAAAAAATATAAATGGCTTTTAATATAATGATATTTAAAATAGCATAAAAGTTTGTGAATTTAAAAGGGGAATTTCGCTATCATTGGATTTTTGTTGTAGCAAATTTATTGTACCAAAACGTGAAAATTGAAATTAGAAAAAAAAAGGAATAAAACGAAACGGAAAATGGTAGATGGCTAATTGTACAGGAATTGTTGGCAGTTACATTATTTATGTGCTAAATACTGTAGAATGCTTTAGGTTGAAATTGTAATGATAAAATGAATTTTTGTTGCAATCTTTCTGCCAAAATTAGAATTCCATTCAAATTCAGCAGAAAAATGATTTGGATTTGCATTTCAATGAAAAAGATGGAACTTTTCTAGGTAATGAAAAAATTTCAGTGCAAAAAAAGTTACATTTAGTGTCCAAATCCAAATTTTTCATTCCTTTTTTAGAAAAAAAATTAAATTGCCTCAATTTTCCAAACTTGGCAGTGAATAATTCAGCACGTGACAAGGGAAAACAAGAAAATTATAAGAGTAGCACTGATGTTTAATTAATTTCATCTGACCTGCACTTTCGTTGACTGCAGATTTCCTGTGGATTAATCGTAATATCGATATCCTTCGTTGGAACATTCAATTCCTATTAAAATTTAAACTGAAACTTGATTTGTGAGCCTTCTATAGCTCTCAAAAATGAAGTAAATAGCAATCATCCGATTATTTTTCAAACAAAAAGCTACTTTATCAACAATCAAAGATTACAACATTAAACATTGATTTGTGCAAAATTGCCTATGTGGAAATTTTATTTTTCAACAAAATTCATTATTGGCTGTGAACGGTTGGTAATATTTACGTTTCACGATACTATCATCGAAGATTTCATCAATGGTCAAAAATGAACAATTCTAAAGAGTTACAGAAAGAACAACCAAAGAATACTATCAAAATTCCAAAATTTAATCTCGAATTTTCCGCTCATTTCCTTTGCAAATTTGATTAAATCAAAATAAAAGGAGGAAAAAGGTGTTTTAATTATTATTATTTTACAGCCTCATTATTCAATTATTTAGCACTTATCATGTAAATTGTTGCAGCATTCTTCTTATCATCGTTTATCATTAATAAATGATAAGTGATTTAGTTTAGAGAAAAACATCTGCAACGGTTGAAAAAAAATACACATTCATTCATTCTTCTTCTCATTTTTTAATTTTTCTTGGAATAATACTCAAATACACAAAAAAATATCATACTCGTTTACACGTATTATATTTATATGCATGTATTATACTTGTATGCACGTTTTATACTTACCTATATGCATATATTAAACCCATATTATACATATGCACGTATTTTATCCATCATATGCATATATTATATGTATATATACGTATAATAAATACTCATATACCCGTAATATATTGACATATATGTATTGTATTCATATATGCATGTTGTACACGCAATACGTACTGCACTAACATGCACATATTACATAACATACGCATAGTATAGATACATATAGATGTTAGATATACACAAAAGGAAGAAAATGAAATAAAATTTGAAGAGTAGGAGGAGTTACTTAATCACGTGAAGCTTATTTTACAACTATTGCAACCAGGGAGGTAGGAAAAAAGTTCATACAAAAGCAATGTATATGTCTCTGTGTGTGTGTGTGTATGTGTGTGTGTATCTGTGCGTGTGTGTACGTATGTGTGTGTGTGTATGTGTGTATGTATGTATGTATGTATATGTCTGCGTGTGTATTTGTATGTCCGTATGCGTGGTTGTAATTGTTTGTTTCATTCTAGCATAGGATTAAATGTGGTGAGGTGTATGTATGTCTAGACAGAAACTACTGGCGCCTGCTAAATGATCACATGATTCTTTGATTCTTTTCCCTTTATTCATTATTAAATTCAAAAAATTTTTCTAATTTTTGAAAAATCTTTTTTATCACTTTTAAATACACTGTCACATACAATAATAGCCATTTTTGTTACACAAAAAAAAAAAAAAGTGATAACGATTATAGCTATGATATGTAATATAACATTGTATTATCAAATTCATTTCCATTCATTTTATTACAATTATTTTAATTTTTTTTTTGTTTAATCGATAAATTATGATTATGACGTCATTCATCTCAGTGATTTTATTCAACGAATTTAATTTATAGCATCATTTTGGAATTTTGAAGAGTTGAAAAGGAGCGAATATTCAATTATCCTTCGTACTATTTTTTCTTTTTTACTGGAATAAATATGATTGGTCGTAAAATTTCTGCTATTAGAAATTTAAAAATTTAATAAATTATGAAAGAATTTTAAGGTTATTTGTTATATAATAGTTGAAATACATTAATCTTTCGATCTTACACGTCATCAACCACTCACAATTTCTTCTATTACTTGATAAGAAAAAAGAAAATGCCGACAACATTGCTACGTCCAAATAATTCTGTTTTAATATCAAACTTCAAATCATTAATGCATCTATCATATCGGTAGTTTTTTTTTTTTGCTTTTTTTTTCGAGAACATTTTTTTATTTCTTTTTCTTTTTTTTTTTTGTTCGCAGATAATAACCCCATTAAAAATTATAATTTCAGATAGGTTTTGATTTTATTTACTAAAAACTTCTCAATTTTTTTTTTTTGCTTCAAAAACTATCATATAGATTATGCAACAACTAATATTATTCCTTATAATTAAGCCATTTGCAGGATGGCTTCATCAGAAGTATCATCGCAAGCATCAAAGACTATAAATATTGATGAAATCAATGAATGTTATAGTAAACTGGATTTGGACTTCAAAAGCACAAAAACTGCCTTCAGAGTAGTTTTTTTCTTTTTCTCTTTCTCTCTCTTTCTTTCAAAATATTTTATTGATAAAATCAAATGTTACATAGGTAAATATACTATTTTAACACATAACGAGCGAGAGTTTTTATCCAAGGGATTCTTTTTTTTTTTTCTTTTCCAATTTATAGTATTTTTTTACAGGGAAAAAAAACGAGTGAATTATTCCGTAGCCTTATTGTACTTCCTCTTTGTACAGTACAAACATTAAGGAAAAGAGAACAAGTGCTATTGGTTGGATTGAAAAAAGTATTTGGTGAAAAATTTTATGCAAAAGTCTTAAAGTTAACGTTTTTTGGACAATTTGTTGGCGGTGAAACGATAAGTGAAGTAAGTTATGGCGGTCATTTGGATCATTTTCTAGTTTAAATTTTATAAAAATTGAAGTACGAGAAATAAATGAATATTTAATATTCATGTAAAGATATTATGAAAATTAGCATATCAAAAACACGAAAACAGTTCCTTTCTTATGTTTGTCAGAGGTTAAATCGGTCAAACATTGCTCTTTCTGGAATTCTTTTTTAAAAATAAGCAAAAAATGGAAGGATGGGAAAGAAAAAAGGAAAAAAAACTTTTTCAAAAAAAACTTTTTTTTTCTTTTCAAAAGTAGCTTTTTTTTTAAAGCTTCCTTTCAAAATTTGAATTCATTAAAACTACAGAATTTATAGATTTACTTTAGTAGCAATTTAAACATTTCCAAAACCTTTTTTTTTCCCGAAAAAGAGAAATTAATCACTGGAAAATTAATCATTTAAATTAATCATTGATTTCGAGAGAAATTTTCGCTTCATTTGTAAAATGATAGTTGAAAAATTTAATATTAAAGGTGCAAGAGACAATGAAAAGGCTTAAGAAGTGTGGAGTGAAATCAATCTTGGACTATTGCGTTGAGTCAGATATTTCTTCGGATGAAGCTGAAAGGAAAGCTGTAGAGGGAATAGTCGGAGGTGAAGCCAGAATGGGGGTTTGATTTTCAACAATTAAAGGAAAGAAAATTATTTGAGATTTTACTGATTTCATTGTTATTCATTATCAATTCCTATGTTTACATTTCCTTTTTTTTGCCAATTTTAGACATTGCTGATTATCTATTTTCCGCATTTATATCTGTCAATATATTTGTTTACATATTTCGATCAATCAACAGAAAAATATCATTTAGTTGGAGGATGTTACGATTTCTATTGATTTAAAATTCAAATAAGTTTTAATTTTAGCCGGTAGAAAGTGTTGTTGACAGAGCAACAGTGGAAAAAACACGACAACGTTATACGGTCCACAAAGAATTTGGTGATCGCCGTAAAGACGTTGTTAGCGCCAGGTTAATTTCAAATTTCCTTTTAAAATTAGAATAAGATATTATTATGTTCTTACCGTTCAACTTTTACATCAGTCAAGGAAATTAGCTTAATCATGAAGTTAATCTTTTCCTGATCTGTGCAACGAAATCTCATCACCACTCCTTGCTCCTAAAACTCCAAGAATAAACATTCACCATTAGTTTGACTTTATATCATGTGCCATAAAGCCGTCATTTTGGGGGCATTCTACTGATATTTGTTTTTATTCTAGAAAATTTTTCCTTGGAAAATTCAAAATAAAGATGTTTGAATTATATTGTATAGAAGGAAGTCCGAAACAATTATAATACTCTTTGCTCCAGATTACCAAATTTTATTCATTTTATTAATATGATTACCGTATTTCTAATGTTTAACTGACACATTCCAGAACTTACTTTTACGAAAGTGAAGTCCAATGCGATAAGAACTGTGATATTTTTTGTGCGAGTGTGGATGCGATAACTTCGGCAATCGGCAGTTCTGGAATTAATTGTATCAAATTAACAGCTCTCGGAAGGTTTCCTGTTTGTTTAATGGAATTCGTTAAAGTTATGGGATGGGAAATATGTCGGTTAACTTGACATTCAATTGAACAAGAATTTTGCGACGAATCAAAATATTTCCACCTATACATTTTGGGATAATTTTTTCGTTGTTTAAACTACATCTTATTTTCAGACCGCAGTTGCTTCTGAAATTATCGGAATTAATAGCACAATCGAATAATTTTTACAAAACATTGATTGGCTCATCCTGGGAGGATCTTCTTCCCAATAAAATCAAAAAAGAAGAATTTTTGAAGAGGATTAAGGTTTTTTGTTCGTACAATTTGAAGCAGACTTATATATTTGCAGGTTTCGAAGTTTTCTTTTTTTTCCCACCTTTGGAATTCTAAGTTTACTTAAGGCTAGTGCGAATTAAAGATTTGTTGACCATCACATTGTCGAACAGAAAGTTGAAAACATTTAGGATCGCGGTGTTCAAATAGATGAAGATATGATGCAGAAATGGTTAAAAACAGTGGATTTTGACGAGAGTGGCTTCGTTGACTTTTACGATTGGCATAAACTCATCGAAGAACACGAACGGCTCGACCAAATATTTCAGGTAGTTGATGTCAGGACTTGATTTCCTGAAATCAAATTCCATCGAAAGAAAGTTATTTGATCGGAAAACTTCCTTGAAAAATTAATTTTAGAAGTATAAAAACTTATTGCCAGTTGCTAACAGACAGAAGTCTATCGCTTCATCAAATGATTGGACAGTTTAAGGAAAATATTCTGGAAACAGCGCTGGCATATGTGGATAGTCCGCTTTGTATAAGACTTTCATAGTTTTTCTAAATTTATTCATATAAAAACATGCGTCGATCTTAGTAAGTTTAGATATATTTTTTCTTTTTTAGGTGTATAATGTTAAAACGAAGAAGATGGAACCATTATTGAATTGCTTGACAGAGTCTGAAACTCAAGAAGTAAACTTATAATTTGCTTGTTCTTTATCTGAACCAATATATTATTTGTTAATACTGAACTTGAAAATTTTTAACTAAAATTCGGAATTCTTTTTAGACTGCTAATATGATGGATCGTATTGTGCGAACAATCGAGTATGGGAAAAAGCATAATTTACGTACAATGATTGATGCTGAGCAGACTTATTTTCAAGCGGCTATTTCGAGATTAGCAATGGCAATGATGAGGAAGTCAGATACAGTTGTAATTATCAGTCATTTAATTTATATAGATCAATCAAAAAGTGTATCTTTTTTCTGATCTGTGCAAAGAATAACAGATTTAATCTGAAAGGAAATTAAATTTGAAAGAAACTGTTTTGAGATACTCAGGTCCTAAATTTTATCTCAAGAGGATAAAAAGAATAAGTGTTCTGATAAATTATATTAAAATATATGAACTATTTTTTTTGTTTGTGAAAAATTTATAAACATTAAACAATGATTTCATACTTGTTTGATTTCACCTTGTTTTAACTTTTTTGATTTCAGGTACAACAAAGAATACGCTTTAGTTTTTAGCACTTACCAAGCATATTTGAAGAGTTGCTTAAGAGACATTGAACTGGATTTACATTTGGCTAGACGAGAAGGTTTCCATTTTGGATGTAAAGTTGTCCGTGGTGCATATATAGAACAAGAAAGGAAACGTGCTGCTGCTCTAAATTACGATGATCCAATCAATCCAAATATTGAAGTAAAGGACTGAAATTTCCGAATTATTGTTCGTTGTAAAAGTATCCGGAACTCGGCAGATAAATAAATAGTGAAATTAGTGACAGATTTTCCCGAATTGATGATTACAGCAGCTTTTATTTTGTTTTAGGCAACTGCAGCGATGTACGGAGAGGTGATGAAAAGAATAATCAAGGAAAGTCAGGAAAGAAGTCCGGGAAGTATATCGGTAATGGCTGCGACGCATAATGAACAAAGCACTAAACAGGTTATTGAAATGATGCATGAAGCTAAGATATCACCTTCCAGTGGAACCGTCTCTTTTGCTCAGCTTTATGGAATGTGCGATCAGGTGAATTATGCTAATCATATTTCTCCTAAAAAATCATACTATCATAGCAATAACAGTAATAATTGTTTGCTTATAATGAATCTCTTAATTTTTGGAGCTCTTCAAGACGAGATATTTGCTACCCCGAAAACGAACCTCTGAAAGCTACGTTTAAAAATAATGAAATATCAATAAAAGAAAAATGGGTTCTAAAAAAAGAACTGAAGTTGTTTGACGTTTTGCGTTAGGTTTGCATATTCTAGATTTCATATTCACTCGGAAATGCTGGCTATTCAGTGTACAAATATGTGCCTTATGGGCCAATCGACAAAGTTCTACCTTATCTTTCTCGCAGGGCACAAGAAAATGCTTCTGTCTTGGGCAAGATTAGAAGGGTAAGTTTATTGTTATGTTCCATGGATAAAAAAAAAATTTTGCAGCCTGAATCCCAGATTTAATAACCTTGCCGTATAGTTTATTTTCTCCAACAAAATATATGAGATATTTTCCAGGAAGTCCGTTTAATGTCCCGAGAATTGATACGAAGGACTTTTACTCTCAATGGAAGACTCGGTTAATCAAAGGGTATAAATTATTGGGGTACGTATTCAAATCACTTTGAAGCCGCAATTAAAATAATGAAGCTTATGCATAATTACGACTAAGATTTGTTATCCTTCATTACCTTTGTTTCCAAGCTGTGTTATGTAATTGTGTATTTCCATTATATTAAATAAGATTTGGAAAGGACCTAAATGCCTGAAGCAGTTACAGAAAAGAACTTGCTTGCGTTATCCTTTATCTGCTGACCAATGTTTCCTCGGCCAAGTCCTGTTATTTAAGAATTATGAATAAGAAATTTTCCGCCGCATTAACTCTCGAAGTATGCATCACTAAAGCGCATGCAATATTAGGTGTTCAGCATCCGTTCAGATTATTTTTCAACGAACAACTGTGACCTGATTTTGATGCGATGATTTTGTTGAACTAATCTGGTTCTGGTAAAAACTTTCAAAAGTTAAATGAATATGCTTTTTTTTTCTGCGTAGAAGCAGGGGTGTTAGTGAATCATAAACTAAGTAAAATTATTAGAAACATGATAATAAAGGAAAGTTGAAGAATAAAATCAAGCATAATTGGAATGAGAAGGCAATGCAAATTACAGGTATACTTCACGCTAATGAGTTCATTCAGATGACGCCAAGTTTCTTCCCGATCGTCTTGAACGCTCTAACGCACTGATCGATTTGTTGCTTTGTATGAGCCGCGGAAATCTGTATTTATACTTTTTTGAAGCGGAACAAAAAAAAAAGAAAACAGTCATTAGAAACAGGATCTGAATTTCTTTGAATTCCTCAAATCCTTTTGTAAATAAGCATATGGAATTTTAAATTAGAAACTATGATCATCGCGATTTCAAACATTATGATATATAATTTCAGCTCTAAATCATATATCATAGTGTTTCGATATTAGAAGAGAGCGAAAAGAATGATGGCTCCCACGTCTTTCTCCCTATGTCTGATATGTAACAAAATGTGAAAAAAAAAAAAAAATACCTGGATACGAATCCTTGCCTTGCCTTCAGGTACTACGGGATAGCTAAATCCAATCACATAGATGCCTTCTTTAAGCATTTCATCAGCAAATGTGGAAGCCATTCTGTTCGTAAATTATTAATTTTAGAATTAACATTCCCATCATGTTTCTTCTAACGCAAATATATGAACAAAGAATAAAAGAAATGTTAGCAAGAGTTCATAGAATAAGAGCAATAATAAGGAAAAAATAAAAAATACCTGGCATCGCCCAGAAATACTGGACAAATCGGATGACTTGAATTACCCATTATTTTGAAGCCAGCATCAGTAAGCGATTTGCGGAAGTAAGATATATTAGATTTCAAGGAATTTGTGAATTCTAATGAACTGGACAATAAATCAAGGACCTAAATGATGAAAAAAGATTTGATTTTCACTTAAATGCTTATAAAATATATGTCCGGCATTCAGAAACAAATGTTAAAATTCTTCCTCAACTACTTTTATTGATAATGATAAGATTTTAATGTGCTATGAATTCAAAACAACAAAGCAACTAAAACATGTTGTTATTTTAAAGGTAAGGATTGAATGGGTAAAGAACTCATAAATGGATTAAACGATGCATCTGTATAAGAAAAATTTCCGGGAAATGCAACAATTTAATCCTTTTGTAGATGAAATAAAGATACAATTCAGTAACATCTTAAAATAATTATGATAATGGAGAAAAGTTCTTGAGATTAAATATGTTTACATCGCTGAAGAAAGTTAAAGATATTTTTGAAAATGTAAAATATCATTGCCAAAATTTGAATACCTTAATGGAAGAGCCAACTACGGATGGTGCTAATGAATTTGAAAACAAATAAGGTCGAGAACGTTGCCTTAAAAGATCAATAAACGGCTTAGGTCCTGTAGTATAACCACCCATTGTACCACCTAAGGCTTTTCCGAGCGTAGAATTGATTATATCAATATATCCTTGAATACCAAAATGTTCTTCTGTACCACGACCGGTAGGTCCAAAAAAGCCTGGAAAAAAATTCTCATTTTTTAATTTCTTTTAGAAATTTTCATCTTCCTATCAAATATTTTTGCGCTATCTAAAATTTTACTAATAATAGGTAAGGAACAAATAAAATAGCATTTTCTCTTTTCTCAAATTTATACTTAAAATCTTCAATTTTTTTCAAACTATTTGATCAGCATATCATCATATTTTTACCAGTTGCATGGCAATCATCAACAAAAACAAGTGCATTATATCGATCTGCAAGATCACATATTTCCTTCAATGGTGCTACATCACCATCCATACTGAAAACGCCATCGGTGGCAATTATTCGTCGTCTGTTACCTTCAAAATTCGTTGTTAAAATTTAAACAGAAATTTGGATTCCAGAAATAAAATGGAATCTGAAACCTAGAAAGAGATGATATCAAAAAATGATACACTACTTTTCAAATCCTTGTAACAGTTTTCAAACTTGAAATTTTACTTTTCATTTCTTTCCCTAACTAGAAAAATAAAACAAACAGGATTAGGTAATTTACTTTGAGTTCCTTTCAGGATTTTTTCCAGATCATTCAAATCGACATGTTTGTAACGATAACGTTTCGCTTTACATAATCGAATGCCATCGATGATGGAAGCATGATTAAGCTCATCAGAAATAACTGCATCCTGATCGTCTACAAATGCTCACTAATTATAGAAGTCTGAAGGTAAAATGAATAAAATAATAATATGATACGATTAATCCGTCTATAATATCCAAATAAAGTTGTTTGTCACATCTATTCGTCTTATCTATATGATCAGATCACCGCATCTAGTCAAAGATATCTAATTAAAGACATAATAAATCAATCATAATTATGAAAAATATACATAATATGTCTTCTCGAATGTTAATAGTAAATGATTTTTTAATGCAAAAATAAATGAATAATAACGAGGACAAAACTTCGGATTCCTAGGACGAACTAATTCAATCAAAATGCTTCAAATTTATTAAATTTACTATTTTTTTTTAGCGCATACTTGTAAGCACTTCGAATAGTCCTCCATTAGCATCAAAACAAGCTGCATACAGAATGGCATCCTCGCGGCCATGAAACCTAGCAAGCTTCTTTTCCAAAGTTCGATGTATATCCTGTGTTCCACAAATGAATCGTACGGAACTCAAACCAGCACCATGAATATCTATCGCTTTCTGTCCAGCTTTAATCACTTCTGGATGACTACTTAATCCTTAAAAAGTTTGATTTTAAAAAGACAGAATTTCATAATAAAAAGCTAGCCTGGTCGGCGAATACTTTCATATAATGATTTTCATTATAGATATTTAATCATCTTCCAATAGAAAAAAAAAAGGGAAAGACATAATTTACCAAGATAATTATTAGCACAAAAATTTAACATCGGCATATCATAATTCTTAATTTTGATTTCCATTCCTTGTCGACCAATGATAACCCTTTCATTTTTATAGGTACCAGCATCCTACAAATTATCACTAGTGTTTGGTAATAATTATATCAAATTATTTAATATTTTTAGAGATGATAACAATTATGAGGATGTACTAAAAACAGAAATAGACTAACTTGAATTGTGTTGAGTTCCTTATTCAATGAAGCAATAAATTGTTGCTGAGCTGCGGAATAATTACGTTTTAATGAAAAATGAAACAATCCAATACGATCAAACAGTATTTGTTGTGCAGCCATTTCAGAAAAGAATTTACACTTCTGGACCACACATACAAATTATTAACAATTGAAATAATTCAAACAGACATTATTACATCGATGTTGAGAATATTTTGATTAATCATAATGTATGATGAACGAATGATAAGGATTATGTCATATACTATGTTGGCTTATCATAATATTAATGATGATGATCAGGAAGTATGAACTATGAAAACTTAATTGAAAGGAAAAAAAAGAAGAAAATAAGATGAGCAAACAAACTAAACCGATGACTTTGTTTTTGAAAATTATTTGAAATTTAAGAAGACAAATAACTGATACACATTTTGGTATTTGATTTTATTTTCAAAATTAAAAAAAAAAGATTGATGAATTTCAATTTTCTTGCTAAAATAATCTGATTCCTTTATCATTATTAAATAAATGGAAAACAAAATTGGAAAGATAGGGAAAACAAGTGACTATATATAAGCTTGTTAGAGTGAATTAAACGAATGTTCAATAGTAAAAACCAAAAAAAAAAAACAAATGTATGGAGAATAGTAATAGGTAGTGATGATAATGAGTGATATAAAAGACGACTACAGTTAAATTATCAATATTTCACTGTATTATTTGCCATAGAATATTTGTTGTATCATCCGCCAGTCATATACAAATACTATAAACGACTGTCACAGCAAGACATCGCATTAAAATGAGCATAAATGTTCACAAACACAGCAGACATGTTACACTGAGACACCTCTAAAAAATATTTGCATGTCAACAGTAAGCCTATTGCACCGCTAAAATGATAATAGAATTTCAGGTTTATGATAGCTAGGAATCTAATTTGATATTTAAACAAAGATAAAATTTATGAAATCAAGCTTCTTCGCTTTCAATAATGCAATTCAATTGGAGTGATCCATCTTATACATCGGTTGACTACATTAGCATCCTGCAATGTTAATATAGTGGCATCCTTATGCCTCACTCCTAATATTCTAATTCTTCAAAGTAAAAAAAATTTTTTATCATCGCATCAAGATGCTAAATACGTATAGAATTAAAGTCCTCCACATACAATTATCAAAATTTGAAAAAGGGATAAGTTAATGGAAATAAAGATATGAAATGTGATTTGAAATTGAGGGAAAATCTAAGTTTTTCTTTTTTTTTTCACTACTAATATTCATGAACTTCCAATAGAATTACAAAAAAAAAAAAATAGTAACTAATCCGAATTTTTACAATTATCAATCTTTAACATTTAGTATATAACTGAGAAATAACAATTACAAGCAAGACTTTTTATCTGTATGATACATAAAAATGTGACAGTCAACTGAACACATGAACAAATAATACTAAACCAATGTATTAGCGAAAAAGCTGAGAGAAAAAAAATTGCTATTAAACACAACGAAACTTAAATAAAAAAGAATGGAAGTAGTTGAAGTAATCTCTTGAAGTAATCTCTTAACAAAAAATAAAACATACAATGTACAAAGTTTTTTGACAATTGGCGTACAAAGTTTTTGACAATTGGCGTACAAAAACATACAAAGTTTTTTGACAATTGGCGCAGATAAACTTGTTATGGTAATGGTTTTATTAACGGAAAACTTATTCATCGTATACGTTGTAAGACTGAATTATCAGAGAATATCAAGGGTTAAGTGAATTATAAGGAAATTTAGGTGGGAATTTAACTAGAGTTATACTTCAGTCGGGATTTGATGAAGTATAGATGATAGTACTATTGAACTGAATCGAAGCGCACTGTTAATCGAGTGGGTCAAGTGAATGACTGGCAGTCAATCTTTTGTCGTGACACCATAGTAGTAGTTGTTGTTTATAACATTTGACAATTGTACATAAGCTAGATCATCAGATTAAATGTTCTTTACAATATGATGGAAGTTAGACAAATGATTCATCAATTACAGTATCGAAAATATTGAATTTTTTGGTGTAAATCATTAATCTGTGGAATATTCTAAATAAAATAACCTCTGTACGATAAATTTTTATAATTATGAATGGAATCCCGTTATTCCAAGATATGTCTATAATGCAAAAATATTATGACTATTTCAACATAGTTCTATATTATACAAATATTCCGGTTCTTCCGAGATACCCAACTGAAGGAGACCAACGCCTTCAGCAAGAAGAATTTGATGGGTACAGCAAAATATGTTCCTTTTGGTTTGGTGAAAAAACATGTATAATTTCCATGGGGACAGCTTTAACTTCTCCTTGATTTGAAATCTTAATACTTGGCGGATAAAAATGAAATCAATTTTCATCTTGACAACAATCAGCATAACGGTATAAAAATACACTAAGAGTGATCCAGTGTGTCATAAATCCTATTAGTTCTTTTGTATTAATTCTGTAGTTTTATCGGATTCATTTCCCGATCCTTCTGCTAATTCCCCTCCTACCTGGCTTATTTCTAATTCCTCTGTTAGCATATCACATATCCACTACCTCTCTTTAATGGTTTTGTTAAATATCTTTCACTTTTTGCCCAAAGAATTTGCAAAACTTTTGGCCCTGATGGTGTCCACTTGCGTACCTTCAAGTCCGTGAATCAATCGCTGACGAGCTTTTCCCAACGAATTAATGCATTTGTTGCGTCTAATGCACCTTGCATCTCCTGCACTTTTTGTTATCAATTCCCGATTAGCTTCTTCCAGTTTCTTGAATCGGACCATCCCTTCACATTGTATCGAGCATCTATTGCTGTGCTCTAGCATTGAGCCTTGAAACTGGCCTTTGAAGCTTTGTTTTGCTATCCAATTCTCCATCTATCGTATCGCAACGCTTCCGTGAGTGAATGCTTTTCACGAGACCCTTGCTCCACTTGTCGTTTCTTTGCGGATTGCGATTTTGTGAATATATTCCGACCGCCTTTCGTTGATTGATTCGACAGTGCTAGCTTGTAATTCGAGGTGCCTTATTCTTCCATTAGATCCATTTCTTTGACTTCATCGGGCTTTTCCAGTTTTTCTTTGGTCAGTTGCGCACTTTCGCTTAGAATGCTAGACATACCACCTCGTAGCACTAATATGTGGCATTAGAAATTTTTTGACGAATGGCATAGATAAATAATTGTGATAAAGGTTTTATTGATTGACGAATTCACTCTTCGTATACGTTATAAACCAGTTATCGGTAGAGTCGATCACTAAATTGTTCTTCTCTGTTTTCGTTTGCTTGGAAAATTCAGTGGGAATTCCACTGAGGTTGTAGTTTAGTAGAAAATGATGGGATATATATGGTAGTACTGTTAAACCCTATCGAAGAGCACTGTTCATCGAGTAAGTTGAGTGAATCATTGACTCGATTCTTTACCCTGACTCCTTATATAGTAGGAACTTTACAACAATGACAACTGCATATGAGCATTATTAAACCAAATTTTACGTTCTTTACAATATTACAATAGGAGTTGGATAAATGATTCCTCATTTTGAAACATTGAAAACACTTATTTTAATTTATCATGCAATGAATCATTTATCAGTGAAATATTCTAAACAAAAAACCTTTATACTACAAACTTCCACATCATGAATTTGATTCAGTTACTCCGAAATATTTCTATAATAGTGGAATACTATGACTATTTCGACATATTTCTATATTATAAAAATATTACGGTTTTTCCGAAATACATATGTATGTGCATGGATATTTTATAAACTTGGTTAGTTCTAGCATATTAGAGTCTCAAAATAAGCAAGAAAACAAGTAACAAACGAAGAACAAATTTGCACGACTTTAATTAATTTGCATTTACAACAATAAAATTCAAAAACCCGAATCGAAATTTCTAGTTAAAGAGAACCACTGGTAAATGATCACGGAGAAATGCATTTGCCATTATTTTATCATCGAAAATTTCGACCTTTGCTAAACCAAGAAAAAGAAGAAAATATTAAAAATAGTAAAAATGTACCAAACAAATCACCAAGGGCTGTTAAATATGGTATTGCAGCACAATCTGGATCCACCTCTATTGACCATAACAAGGCAACGAGTAACTGACACACATAAAGCAGTGATAAAACCTGAAAACTCATCATTCACTTCCAATTAATACGTTCATGCATTAAATTTGGCGTTTTTTCTCTAGTTATTCCTTTAAATCCAGACTCCATGGAAGTAAACCTTGAAACGTGACAAATTTTGGTAGTGAATACACGATGTGGAGTAACCTAGTTGATACGAGTTAGTTCTACAACTAATAAGAGCGAAATAGACGAAGTACACAGGATAAACTCAGATTTCACTCTTTCAGAACAATAAACTGTCTAACCTGAACTAACGCTGCACAGATATATATGCTAGTAAAAAGTGGCCCAGATGGTAGACTACTCCCTTTGTGTAAAATCTGTATAACCCAATTGAAGAACATATGACAAGGAACCACAAACAACAGCAACACACGAGCTGAACGCGCATCTAGATCTACAATTTTTTTTTTTTTTTTTTTTCACTATTAGTATGAAAGATAACTGAAGAGGCAGTGAAACCTCCAACATATAATAATATCAGCAAAATTTTTAACAGTTATATAGAATGATATCTAAAGAACATACTTGAAAAAGATTAATAAAAAAGAAGTGAACTCAGCAAAAAAAGAAAACGTTTACCATCAGAAAAAAGTGCACGTTTACAACTTAAGTGACTTGATAAAGCCTCGCTTAGTGTTCCAAATGGATAGTGTTGATGATAGAATGTAGAAAGACGACTAGCTTGAATAGCTGCAAGATTACCACCAACTCCTACAAAAGAAAAAACTCCTAAAAAACAGGCTTCTCTGTTCGAAAGGGTCGCTTAAACTTTCAAAGCCACATGAAAAAAGACGCTTTTATTACATATTTACAAATCACGGCAAAAAAGATGAGCTAAGTCTAAACATAAAAATTTCAAACTTAATCTTGCAGCTTACCGTTTATAACAGGTTGGAACATCGCAATTTTCGGAAATCGTTTGATGGTACTTTCCAGCACAAAACCACCGGTACTACTTATTAACATGCTAAATATAATAGGTGACCAACCATTTTCTAACACATTGGCTGTACCTTCATCCTTTCGGGCTAAATAAATCCAGAATGGTGTTGCCATTATGAATGTTACAACTACACCAACATTAAGCCAAGTCTCGTTGAGATGTGCATGAAGAAATATCGAACCTGCAACACTTCATTGCTCAAAGCTTGCATAAGTATCAAGAGAAATCATAGGAAATCAAAATTTCAAATAAAGCTAATTAAAATATCAGCTTTGACGTGAAAAGCGCAAGAGATTTTATGGCAACATAAAGAAGTCATAAAGACGGCTAACTAGTTTAATGAAACTGTTATAACACAGTGGGGAAGCGATACAAAGTAGATTGAGAGCTTTGTCCACTAAGTCATCTTTGTTTCCTCTAGTTTCTCACCTTTATCTTCCAAGCCGTCTTTGTTATCCTTCCTCTTTGTTCTCCTCGTAAATATGATTGTGAAAATCTTGCAACAGATGATGTTTCTCCCCTTCTTTGTTCTTAGGAAACACTATATCTTTAAAAAATCGAAGGTAAGTGGGTCATTTATTCATAAAGGTGTAGTACAAAACAGTTCCTCTATCTGCTTCCTACTCTCTTTCGATCTCTACAAGTATATTACTTGAGATTCTGGATAAAGATGTGAAGCATTTATTTGTCATCGCCTGGAACAGCTGAAACTGTCGATTCCTAATCCCACTCAGCCAAAAATAAAGAGAATTTCATGACCAAAGATCACATTTAAACTCCGGCAAAATTTAAGCTTAGATTGAAACCATGAAAACTGCACAGTAAAACGAAAGTTTCTTCAACATTGAGGTGAAAAGAAGCAAGTATGTTCTATACATATCGTAGAAAACATTGTAAACTAGTGTTACTTAAACTGAATTAAACAATTACCTAATAATGACAGAGCTCCTAAGGTGGTAAGATCACCCAATGAGGCAGCAATTGGTGTTGCAATGTTGTCGGGATTTATGGCGAAATTTCGTGAAATTAAAACGACACATATCACCACCGTACTAAGCACTAACGATGTCAGTGATGCTGTTGTTAGACTGCTTGCACATAATAAAGAAGCATGAGACCAATCAATCTGAAATTTTACATCCGAAAAACTGGGAAAACAAAACAAAACATCTTTCTTCACTGATTTTGAATAACAAAGGCTCATGTCCATCTCGTATCATTTGGTTGTCACCGCAAACTTTTAACGGACTATCCTTGAGAAGTATTTTTAAGACATGGGAGTAAAAGCGTGCTTTCTTCTTATCCAGCACATATACAGTACTAAACTGTCAGTTTCGCAAAAAAAGTAAACTGATGCTAAACGTAAATGATCTCAGTTTTTTCTCATTAAACTTTGGTAAGAAAGTATGTAAGCATCTGTTCCAGCTCTACTGCGATTCTTTATTCATATCCATCTACCAGTAATACAGTCGAAGAACGCGAATAGAAATCAACTAAACTATTGCATAAATCACCGCCATTAATTCCCATTTACATATAAAAACTGCCTGTGGTTTACTCAATTAAAATCTCATTCTATGAGTCCGAAATTCAGTGAAAACAGTAAATCAACGCAGAGACAATTTTCTAAATTAGCAGAATCACCTGCCCTTTTGGTATCCACGCAAGCGCAACAGCAAAGCTGGAAGCGAGGAATGCTACAACAATTGCTTGTACTTGAATAAGAGCCATGTTTGCAATAATAATCTTCTTTGGATTTGAGTTCATCCGTCCTGTATTAGCCTGAAAAAAAGTAAAAAAAAGATCGGTGAAACATAAAAACTTGAAATACATGAAATCAGAACAGTGATTAAGAAATTTTAGGGAGTCTTAAAAAAGTAAATTAACAATTTGGCTTTGAAGACAATGAAATGATTAGAACAAAATAGAAGCAGTTTCAAACAGATATTATGTCTCATTTGATTTACATTTACAGCACTATTAACCTGGGAATCAGCTGTTGGTGAACTATACGAATGTACTTGAGTATATTATGAGTCTGTTTCAATCTCGACATCAAATTCAGCTAAAACGGAAAGCATCAACGGTTATGTAAAAGAAGGGGAACGCAGGCATTTTTAAGATGCGTTTCTCCAGCAGTGAATTCCCAAGAAGAAAGGACTGATAGATAAACGTACCAATGTTGATAATCTGGATGCAAAGGTCATTTCAAGGTTCCCTTTCAAGCCAAGTAATGCAGGCACCAAAATGAATGTTTCAGGTACCTATAAAATGCAGTGAAATAAACCGAGATTTTGGAAATATTCTCAAATGCAAGTCAAATCTAGCTCAAAGAATGTCAAGCAATTGAAGATGTACTTCGACAAACAGATTCCAGTGTTGCACAATATCAAGAACAAAGCCAGCAAAAACCATCCCAAGACCAGCAGGAACGAATGGAAACAATATCTGAAACAGAAATTGCAAAAAATTGGGAAATATTAAAGAAAAAGTAGGACAAAAGGCAATTTTTCCTATTATTCCATACAAATAATATCTGGGATAAGTATGCAACAAATGTGACTTAAAAATGAAGTCGACAGAATTTCATTTAAATGAACTAGTAGCGCAAAAAGTTGTATTATCTTCAATCCACACCTGTAAAAACAAACTACACGAAGATGTAATAGGCATGCTTGAGTGTGGGACGCTTGCACGAGTAAAACTAAAATCTTCATCTGAAGCAGCCTGTATACTGTCACCACTACTGAAACATAACATAGCTACACTACATACAAATTAGTACAGCTTATTCTTTTTTTGATAGTTTTGCTTTAATCTACTCCAGCAGATAGTTAAAGTTTGAAGCGAAATAAAAGTTAGAGATTGCCAAAATTATTCTACATAGGAATAGCTAGAAATCATAGAAAACTATCCACAAAATGAATCAAATTGAAAAAAATCCACGACGGCCGTACTGCTGATTATTTGAAGCAAACAACAATTTTCAAAATGCAAAGCAAACCTAAGGAACTGTTACTGATCAACTGTTAGATTAAATGGAAAAGCAAAATTCAGGTTATAAATAAGCAGTTAGCACGGTATCAAGATTTTCAAAAAAGGAAAAGATACTTAGAAGCAGGGTTTGCTTCGCCTTTAGCGACCTTCGGATTTAACACCTCTCCCACTTTTTTTAACATTGGTGTTAAATCAGTCACATCATTGTTGTTTAAGTTGCTGTCAGTCACTTCATGCTTATACCACGATGGACCATCAAGTGAAGCTAGTACACAAACACTATTCGATTCAAATTTTGTTTCCAAACCGTCCAGCTCCTAAATTTTATATATGTTTTCACATTAAACTTTATCATTTCAAAATCCATTGGCTGAATAAAGAAAATATCACGAATTAGAATTCTCATTCTTAATCATTGGGCAAATTTTCAAAAGCATCTACATCTCTATAACACAAAATGGGGATAAGGAAAGAGAAAGGATTTTCTTTTCTACCACAAAAGAGCGAATTTACACTATCGATATGCGCAATATCCATCTCTTTATTTTCACTCCGGAATCGTCGCCTTTTCACTTGTGATAATAATTTGCTTTCGTCATATAGACAATGTCTTCTGTTGATCTTAAAATTAAATCCGTTGATCTCGTATCATATACCATTTAAGAAGCTGCAGTTTTTCCATAACTTCATACATTTTAGCTCAGCAGTATGACCGTAAAACGTTATTACATGCAGAAATGTGTGTTCAATTCAGAGAGCAATTTTCATCCATGATTTTCACTTCCTCTCTTGCGCTTTTCTATTGAATTCTTTCCTTAGCACCATTAATGTACTAATTTTAGCATCTCAAACTATGGGATCTCTTGTAAAAGGGTGAAAATAAATTTACATTGTGAATGATATGTTAAAAGCTGTCAAATTATATCACTTCTTATTACTGATCTATTTTGCCGCCAATGATACATGCAATAGTAATCTGTATTAATTAGTTTTGAAGCAGTTGGTTGGGACAAAATGATTTATGACTTAATCTATGAGACATAAGACATGAATTCGACAGTTCGACTTGCGAAACTTGTTTTCACTCTGTCCAAAAACTGATGGATACTTCTTGTTCAATTTTATTCTTCATAGTTTCTTCGACATTACATCTATTTTGTTCAAAATAAACCTACATTTCCACTACTTCCATTCATTGATCATACATTCCTGAAATATAGAAGGAAACAAATATCACAGAAATACTACCGGACAACTATAGCGAGTATGGAAATATGCAAAAATTCGAAACTGTTCACTACATAACATTTATCAGAACAATTTCTCCTTATTTATCCCAATCCAAAGCAAAAACGATTACAATGAACCACTCATTCACACACCGGAAAATCTCAACACAGAAAAATTAATGTTATCAAACCGCATCCGCAAAATTCCAAGCATCTGTTTAGTCCAGCCAGTTTTTCCGAGGAGGAACGGATCAACCAACGAAACATTTTCGGAACTTTGTTTTTCAAGACTGGGAAGAATTCCATAATTGGTTACTATACCATTAAGCATTAAGCGTTTTCATCCCTTGCCTATTTCTTAAATCGTACAATCGGAAACATTTCCGAGTTTATGGTGATAACATCAATCGTTTTCATTTAGACCGGAAACGATAAGACGTGGTATTTTTCAAAATTTTTGTTTAAAACATGGAATTTTGCAGTCATTTACGTGGCTTTCTTTGAGCTAATGCTTTTGCGTATGTACTGTTGTTGGATAAACGCTTATGTTTGTTTATTTTTGCATAAACGCCCACACATGTGTACGATGACTAATAACTGTCAATTTCAGCGGGATGGGTCAAGAACGAAGTATATTTTCCAGGAGATCTCACAACACAATTGAGATGTTGTCGATGACCTGGGTACAGTTTGTCAAACTTATCTGCGAGCTTAATGACAGGTTAATTCAGCAATTAAAAGATACGCAAAACGCTTACAGTGTCAGCGATTTTTGATGCTTACTGTTCAATGAAATTTGACTTGTTAAGTCTCATCTTGAGTTTTTTCAGTATATTCATTTATGTGCATATACCTTCGAGGACACTTAAATAAGACACCAAATTGGATATCAGTACTAAGAAACTGATGTCCGTGTATGCTATGTAAGAATTTTTAATAGTAAATAATTAAGAGAAACAGTATAGTTTTCAAAGTGCTCCTTAAAAAAAAAAAAATATTACGACAATGAAGATTT